AAGACGACGAAGAATCAGTGACGCCAGAAGCCTTGTCACAACAGGCGTCAAACTAACACCTCTGTGGTTATCACATTCATTGCGAGTACCCTGTTTGGGAATGGGCACCACAATCGATTCACCCCAGTTGTCTGGGACGGCCTCCTTCTCCCAGGTAGACCCAAATAGGCTAGAGGGGCACTGACTGGGGAACCCACCGCCATCCTTGAAAAGAGCAGGTGGAAGGTCATCAGGGCCAGCAGCACGATGACGCTTGAGAAGGGAAGTACATTCAGACACTTCTGAGACTGGAGGCGGCTCCATATTTACGGTCCACCTTTCTGTTGAAGGCCAGGTTTCTGGATTGGAGGTAGCAGATGACCAGCTGAATTGCTGCTCGAAGTACTGTACCCAGCGGCCCAAACGTTCTGCTTTGTTGCATATCAGGACCAGTCCAACGAATCAAGTGGAACAGCTTGCGCACGTTTCAAGCATTCTTCGCATCTTCCATTTCTTCGGCCTTTCGGGTCCACGAAGTTTATCGGTCTGGGCGGACACTCAGTTTCACCTGGCGTCGGATGATGCGCCGTGTGGAGTTGTGGTGGCGGCCAGGTGGAATCTGTCGCCGGGTCTCCAGCAAAGACGCGGTCTTATCAATGATCCAATGCTTGGATGGGGTTGGCTGGGTTGTACCACAAACAGAATTTCCGGCTTTGAGTAGCGCTTTGGACATTTTTCCCAGTGGTCGTTTATATCCGACACTGTACCGTCCGGCAGGCATTCGAGGAGCTGGTTCTGATAGTTTCGTTTGACTTCTGGGTCCACTAGCTTCTCACTGACTAAGCGAAGTGTGCACGTTTTGCGTACATCTGGAAAGCGCAATGAAAAGCAGCAGCGTACAGGTGCATGGTCCACGCTAGTGTTCCAAAAAGAGCAGCAGACGGTGATCGACCCTCGCCGCTGATAACTGACGGCGATAGGGTTTATTTGGATTCGGCGCTGGTTTGGTGGTGGGCACCACGTTATCAACGGATTTCCGCTGTTCCGGAACTTCGTACTGCAAAGGAACAGTCTGTGATCGGCACACATCTGAAGTAAGCGGTCTCCGTTGTCCATGCATTTCATGTCCAAACCAAGACGACCACCCATTCGGGCCTCAGTAGCGCCTAGTCTACCTACCTGGGCGTTCATATCACCAGCAACTACAACGATATCTGAGCTTTTAGCTTGCTTTAGAAGTGCCTAGAAACTGTCTTTGGCAGAGTCAGAGCTACAGTCAGTTGGGGCGTAAACAAACACAATAAACAAGGTGCGACGAATCTCACTTCCTCATATGTTGCCAAACGAACCACACAGAGGCGACTATCAGCGGGTATCCAATCAAGCAAAAAGGCTTCCGCTCGTTCGCTCAATACAATACCCACCCCAGCATATCCAGCTGCAGGAGCCTCCGCATCACCGGAGGTGCGTATCCGGAACCTGGAAGAGAGCGGGGAGCAGTCAGTTCGATTACAGTAGTTGCGTTCTGCGTCCTTGTTTCTGACAGACAACATATTTCAATACAGAGGGAATCCAGCGTACGTGCAGGAGACACCTGTTGACCTGCTTGCTTCAGTGTGAGAACATTGAAGGTGGCTAAGTAGACAGGCTTTCGGGGTCGGAAAACTGACTTCGAAGTGTTTAGGGTTGTAACTGAACTCGGACGTGCAGAAGCTGCGGCTGAGTGTGATGCAGGGCGAGCAAAACGGTCAGTCCTAGAGCTGGGACCTGCGGAGAAAGTCTTCAAATTTGGGCGGGGGGAGGTGAAAGACAGAAAACGTGTAAGAGTAAGAAGGGGGCGTCAGCAGTAGCATGTTTTCGCTTACCCGCCCTGTTGTATGCAGCAAGTAAGGCGACCAGGCTGATGGCACCACGCGACGGCCGATGTGGCATGAGATCATTGTTAGTTGTGTATGTCACGGTTGTACGAGGGCTGGGATACTGCCAAGGCGCCCTCACCTATACCAGGGCTTAGCTGAAACAGGTGTCTGCATAGACCGGGAAATTTGATAGATCCGAATCGTCCAAGCAATTGAAGGAGCGAAAATGCTGGAAACGTCCGCAGATTGTTCCACTTCACTCGTTCGACGAGTCCCTGGCAACTTCTTGTCAGTGAAATTATCGAAATTTACGGCTGCTTTAATGTCCAAAAAAGAGAAAAACGTCCGAGCCGTTGGGCAGAATACTTCGAATAACTCTTGGCTACCTGCTAATTCCAGTTTAGGTTGTAGGCGTTTGAAAGAAACGTGGGCTGTGAGTATGAAGCCTTCTTTGGTTTCAGAATTGCCTGAAGGTATATATACTCAGATGGCGTCGTGATGCTGGTCCCGATGACCTTCACCAACCCTGTTCAAGGACGGCAGTGAAGCCCTCAGCCAATACCTAGCTTTTCCAAATCGGTCCTGCGGCCCCGACTGCAACCGGGTGAACAGGGCGAGGGAAGCACGAGGACTGGGATCCTGAAATGTTGCCCAAGCCTAGACAGGGGAAGCCGACAGGCAGGTTCGAACCACCGACCTTCCGGCCGGTCATATACTCAGATGGCGTCGTGATGCTGGTCCCGATGACCTTCACCAACCCTGTTCAAGGACGGCAGTGAAGCCCTCAGCCAATACCTAGCTTTTCCAAATCGGTCCTGCGGCCCCGACTGCAACCGGGTGAACAGGGCGAGGGAAGCACGAGGACTGGGATCCTGAAATGTTGCCCAAGCCTAGACAGGGGAAGCCGGCAGGCAGAAGTCGGGTTCGAACCACCGACCTTCCGGTCAGTAAATTCGCGCTCTAACCACTTGGGTCATCTCGCCCCTCAAACCTGATGCCGAACTGTCCAAACTAAACCTGTCGCTACTGCTCCACTCACTGTTGTCGCCTAGGCGAATGAGGTAGGGAGGAAGTGGCTGTTAACACCGATGTCCGATTTTTGGTCTCTGGGTTTCAGTGTGATCTAAAGTGCCAAGCAAGCGAATAGGAACTGGATGGTGTTGTTGCCGGTGATTGCGCTTCACGAACAATAGCGATCGGAGACATTCTTATTGTTGACAGGATGCAGCTGAATTGAGTTCATAGGATGTCGAACTACTTCAAATTTCTACCATATTAAACAATTTTCATGCTGGTTGGTTGGTACAGCTAATCCATTCGTCTTTCATTTCCAGACACTTTAACTTATCATTCTACATCAATGGACGGTGAGGCTCCAATTATTGATCCTAGGCAATCTGAAATAGAACAGAAGCGTATGGATATAGCTTGCATAAAGCGGAATCTGGAGATGAATCGCATGCCGCTGAGTGAAACTATAGTAGCCATAAGTAATCACTGTTTTGAAAATGCACAATCCGACCCGCTACTATTCCCACCCAAAGACAATCCGTACAAACCCAAACGCACGTGTTTTGCTTGTTAGTTTTCACAAGCTTTCTTGTCTTAGCTAGCAAAATACGTTGTTTCAGCCTTTTTGATTTTCCACTAATCTATTGGCTCGCTCCAGTACTGGTCCCTTTATCGCCATTTTCGCTTCATGATAACATTCAAGGCTTTACATGCTCCATCGTTTGTGTAACTTTATTATTGTTTCCTGCTTTATTTATTTATTTATCCATTTGTTTCAGCCTATTCGCCCCAACTAGATAACGATTCCAGCCTTTCGATTCCGTTACTGTTCCTATCGGTTAAAATCAATGTGAACATTAGCGGACACAGCGATTCACGCGTACCAACCCACTGAACCACGCGGTGATATTGTTAGCTGTAAATGGTTGCACAGTGGTCCGAATTGCCAGTTCTGTTCACTAGCCGCTGAATCGTAGAGGGGGTAATTGGCCGGCAATATATTCTACCTTGGTAGTGCAAATGCGAGCTTTGTGTCGTCTGCTGGCGGTGACTCAGAGGAACAACGTCGGCCATGTCCTTACAGATGTTTCGTGGCATCATTCAGTATTGAAGTTTGTGGCTAATATTTCACGGCGTTTTTCACCAGCATAGTTCCATTTGGTGACCTCGATGTTTGCTGACAGTGGCTTGTTCGCTAAAAATTATGCATTTCGGTGAACGCTAGAGCATTCTAGAGCGTCTTGGTAATGCCAGTTCTGAGTAAACTTGTGGGATCTCGTAACGTCCCATTGCTACCAATTTTCCACCACTGTGGTGAATACGTATCTATCATTCGCGCCCAATCCGTCAGCTATTCGGACATTCAGATAGAACGCTCTACTCATAAAAGTGATCATATCGCTCCCATACACACACGCATGCTGTTTTTTCTAATACCCGTGGGTTGAAATGAATAAGAAAACTTACGACCAATGCCCGTGCCAAAAGAAAAAAGACAAGGACGCCTGAAAAGAAACAGGCAAAGTGGATTGAGGTAAAAGCTGACTTGGCGTCAGAAAACTCAAGCGTCATATGTGGTCCAAAAAGAAACAGGGCTAAGGACTATTAAATAAGAGAAGTTTGTGTGGAAGCATGGATGGATTAGCTCCAGAACAAGTTGTAGAAACTTAGTGAGTGGCTAATTAGACAAAGCAGGTTTGGGAAGCAGATATATAGAGAATAACTAAAGAAGCTAGGCTTGATGAGTATCTCTGCATTATTAGTAACGAGGAACGCGACATCTCGACTGTGAAAACGTGTCTGCAGATTGTCCGGTGGGCGAACAGTGTCGATGAGGCGTTTTATTTCACACCGACACGGTAGTCGCACTTGAGCGTTTCGGCTAACTTGGAACCCCAGACTGCTTCAGAAATAAGCGATTGCCCTTTATCCCCCAAGCGTATCTTGACACCCGTTTTAACCGGGAAGTTGGTGAATATTGTGTGAATGTGTATTTGTACTCCTATGCTTATGGGCGCACAAGTTTATTGTGAGCTCTCCAAAATTTTCCCTGAAAGCAGTGATGTCCGATAAGAACGTCTACTCTCTCCGTTCTTGTTTATTTTCACTGACGAGGTAGTCAGGCAAACGCTGAGAGGTGACCAGAACATCGATTTCATATTTCTTCGAGCTGGGATACGCAGACGATATAATTCCCATTTTTTGAAGGACAATGCCCGAATATTACTTGAAAAGCTGACAGAGGTTATCCAGGGCTTCAGCATGCGCTTCACAGTCACAAACTCATAGTGAAGGACTTAAATACGTCCGAGAATCCAAGGAGTTGCATTGGAATTTGTGGCCGTTATACGGAATTCGTATTATATCTGACAGTATTATGACGAAGTCGACACGAATCTCGAAAGGAGTTGCTTGTGCCAGTTTGCGTCAGTTTTGACGTCAAAAAGGCATTTCTGCAGGTTTAAATAGCGCGAAGCGATGGGGGGACGACAAAGTTCATTAAATAACGATACGGAATTTTGGTGCTTTCAAGAAATCGGAAGGTTCTGCTAACATAAGTTAACGTATTGTCAGCACATTGATGCGCAGTGTACGTTCTGCGCAAAGAAAAGACGCTTTAGGCTCGTTTTGCCCTATTCGTTTACATGTACAACGTCCAAACGTATCGATACCGTTCGTAATTAATGAGAACTAGACCCGATTTTTCGTATAGCCATTATACATATTTACCGGAGGAAGAACGTCACTAGCCGGTAGCACGGAATTATGTTGTAGAGCAGGGGTATAAGTATTAATGAAGATACGAAACAGCACTGAAAGACAACTGGGTCACAAAACAAAACGCGTCTGACTGCATAGGTCACATTCGGCGGTAGACAACAAATTAGCTGGGTACGATGACTGGGACAGGTTGAAGGAAAGAAGCATTAATCGTGTGGCCAAAGGTTTCCAATTCATTGTCCGATAATTCTGTTGGTGCGAGAAACTGAACAGAACGAACCGTGGGACCTCGCCAGGTGCTCAGATCCATCAAAGCTCCTTTGAGTGCTTTGAAAACACTTTCGGCGCGTCTAGCACGCCATGAGGCGTTCATGTGCTGGAAGAAAATTGGATGAAACAAAAGATGCGAGCACGTGTTTGAGCTGTATGGGTGAGGAAGGCCAATCACAATGCCATGCGACAGTAAGGCTCACATAAAACCGCTGCTGGGTGGTAGCTGGTGTCACTTAGTATGGACAGCAAATCTACCTTGAGATTCGCGGATGCACTGTGAGGGCAAGCATATATCTGGCAGACCGTTTATTGGAGTGTAGGTGTCGTATCAGTGTCAGTCTACCTGAGCGAGCCAGACCGCCCATGTCACTGCACAACTCCGGTCAACAGCAGAAACGCCCGCTATCCGACTACTGGACGTCACCGTTGTGTCTACCACACCTTATGCCGAAATTCTCGTGTCTTCAATCCAATGAGGGCCAATCCAGTGAAGTAGTGCCTGTATGCGCAGAACTTGCGATCTCTTAGTCCGCGAAGAACACGTGGCAAAAATGTACGTGGGTACTCGCGCGCACTTTCTTGTGGGATGCTGCTTTCAATAACTGAAGACGGGTCATTGCAGAAGATGCCCCGCCATAGGCTGTCTCCCGAGAACTATGTCGAACTAGTCCAACATCTCTTTCACGTAAACTGGTTTCTTGGACAAACTATGGGTATTGTATGGGGAATTTACCCGGATAATAGAGCTCCGTATAACATGCACGTAAATAGTACTTTGTTATCCACGAATCATGAGAAAACTAGTCAGCACGCATAAAACTGCTACCTGTTCAGTGAGTAAAGATGATCTCTATGTGCTGCTGATACTTTACACATTCTACTTTGTTTAGAGGTGGTATTTATGGCAGGGTTCTCATCTAACTCAACTGAGAAAAGCTGAAGAGTTGAAAATCGGTCCTCATAAGAGGGTCATAGTCTTTATATGAGGAGTAGCTATCTAGGCTGATGCACGTTTACAGAGTAGTCTACAAATCATTTCTCCAAAACGGCAAATGACGGCGACGAAACTCTAGGGAGCAGAGCACCTTACGGAAGCGCAGCATCAGATGCAAATTCGACTCCCATCCCTGTGGTTGTATTCTGTACAGAATGTTCTGAGTTTTTCATCGAACAACAAAATTTACGAGGATATACGGAATTACAGTCCAGCCGATTCGTTCAGGTATCTTTTTGGCCTCGCTTAAGCCCAAGACGTAGGGAGATGTCCGGTAATTACAGGTTTTACTTTAACCCAAAATTCGCCTCTCGACGATTTCGGTAATCCAGCACCGGATCCCTTCCTCTTACAGTTTCTTTCCATTCTTGCGGGGGTTTTGTGATAGTGTCAACAGTGAGGTTGCTGTGTATGACGATAGCGGTTCCGACTAAGCAAAGTGAGCGAGTTCCATTTCGGTGCGAACGGTCTGCAGCCCGCTAACTTGCTACAGAACTTAAATGAAGAATGATGACTTCATGGCGACACTGCAAAGTGACTGAGTACTGGGTCAACAGTTTCGAAACCCTTTCAAAGTGTTCATCAGCGACGTGTCTTACCAGCGGAAGACAGTTTATAAGATAATAAACGGTTGAGTCGGGAGTCATACGATGTTACTTGTAGTCACCAAAACTTGTTATGGCATCGCACGGTGACACTGATTACCAGGCTGTTAGCAAGCATTGTCGGCCAGGAGGGGTAGAGCCGGATGACCATGTGGGGGCTCCCATAGGTTATGGTGAACTTTGCCATTAAGTGCAATTTGTTACGGGGGAAGGGGATGAATGACTGCTCATCGCATGATTCACAGCTACAGCTAAAGTATCCAGTGGCGTGGTTGTCACAATAGAACCAGTAGCTTATTATTTCATGCTAAGCCGGTGGTGTGGTGCGCCAGGAAAGCTTAACCCGACGGACCAGTGGGATGGCCAGTCAACCAGGGTTCACTAATATCTAATTGCCTGCAGGTGGGTTTGACAGCGAAGTGAACGAATAGGAAGTCCCGTCAATCAACTAAACCACATGTGCCTGGTCCCTGTCTGCACAAAGGAAGTGATAATTGATGGCGGGTGACCGTCTGTTTGACAAATGAGGAACTGCTGAAAGAAACGAAGTTAAGCGCTAGCACTTCTCGGGTGGTTTAATTCGCAATCCAGCCAAATAAATAGTATACGAACCAACAGACATTCGATTTCGACGTGCCTGGCTTATTTTTTGTGGACGAAGCCCGACACGAAATTCGTTCGGGAGCGCGAACCCTGGTAAACATCAAGAAGGCCAAAAGAGAGAACAATCCTGTGGATATGCGGTCCGAGATCGAATTGCGGGCTCCCAATTTCAGGCAAACACAGGGGATCGGACTGTTTTAATGATGAAATCTCTGAGCCGGGCATACGTGGTCAATAAACATGGGCGGTTAAGGGTTTGTTGCAGAATTGGTTTCGTCAACGCGATAAAAAAGAATCTCAGTGATACTGGGTAATTGTGCCACACATCTGATTATTCATCTCAACATTACTGTATAAAAAACAGTGGAATAACGCTTCGTACTTCACGTACGTACCGCCTCGGCTAGCTTATTGGAAAGCAGTCCTTAGGCGAACTCACTTTTCAGCCAGGTAAGCGAACAGTGTTTTGACAACTTCTCATTATTTACGCTTATTGGACGTCATTGTGTCGGTTTAAAACGACTACAATGACAGCCGGTGGAACAACCTACAGGTGTTTTCCCACGCACAGCTATGGAAAATTGACTAGACATGGCAGCTCGTCCACTGCTAAACCAAGCACTAACCTTAGACTACTGAGCTAGAACGAATTCTGGGGGGGGGCTGACACCTAAAGTGATGGCCTCTTAAGTATCATGGGACCCTTAGAAGAAAGTAAAACAGCGAAGATAGCGTGAAAAAGCCGGTTGTCATACTGAACACTGCGATGCTACGGTACTTTGCAATGCAATAACATATGTGGAATGTTAAAACAGGCTGAACGAAGCAAACAAGAAACGGACGGTTTTCGATGCTCTGTTCGAGTGAACGCCTCATGCCGATCTTCAAATATTTTTTGAGGAACTTATCGGTCGAGCTAACCCCGCCTCATTCGCAGATAGGCGGAACCGTTCTTGAGGCGAAATATTTTTGATTTCCCCGGTGTGTTCCCCTTGGGGGCGATCTGCACATTTTGTTCTTTTTGCGGTATTCACAGTGATCGGGAAACTCACGGTTTTGAAAACTAGAACCAAGCTTACGGAAAAGGCGACGCGACTTAATGACTGTGAATCTAACGAAATTTCCTAGTCCATACTTTCGACAAGTTTTCTAATAGGCAATGATCGAGAGTCATCAAAATAATCAGTGACAAGTTTATAAGCATGACTATCATCATTCTCAGGTAAGCTCACCTCTCGCAGGCTAGGGACAAGTAACAACGGCATCGATAGCGTCGTGATGTCGTAGTCAAAGCAAGCACGTAAAATAGCTGAGAGTGAACAATGGAGTGGAGTTCCAGATCGAATACGACCCTCATCCTGGTCCGGGGATTCGTCCTGAACAAGGTGAAAGATCACGCTTATTCCACCACCACCACCAGCCAGGCCACCAATACCACCAGCAAGATTTGAATGCTTGGTGATATACACGTCCCCGTGAGCTGGTTCACGCGACCTGCCAGACTGATCTGAAAAGCAAAAATAATTACGTCGAAAGTGTAGAACTTGGATGCAGGTGCTACAGAACCCGAGTCCAAACAAAATATCCTTGCCTTCCCTGGAGAGACCACGTTTCAAAAAGCGGTAAGTTTTGGTCTTTTAGAACGTCTTTCAATCGGCCACTTTTGGCCAGCCCTTTGAAGTGGTGCTTTGAGAAGGGAGCGAGTATGCCCTGTACATAGAGGAAATCAAATAATTCGGCTGTGACACCCTTTCGGCGTGTGGTTAACCCACAACCCAAAAGAAGCATGCTGACCAACAAGAGGCCAGCAACAGGTTCGAAACACCCTTTGGTCAGGAGCACGCACACTAATCCCAATCTCGAGTTCAGCACATGAGCTTGGGACCTAGCGAGTTTCTATGTCTGGACTACGCCGTAATCCCCGAATCGAGAGGTGATTTTGTCCACCGGAAACTATGCAGCTGCCAACTACAGGAACTATCCATCACATCAATCTGTTCATTCGAAAGCAACGGGCTTGGAGATAATCTGACCCCGTCTTGTGATAGGGCTTTACCCTTCACAAGTGCGAAGATGAAGCGTTAGGCAGAGGTATATAGGTCACTGAAAATAGCTTGCATTTCTAAAAGGTCTGATCCAGGAGGATCAACACCGTCAACGTAATTAATGCACATGAGTGAACGACCCAGAAGTATTTTGATCCTGAGGTGTCACAAGCAGCTAAAGAGGGACCAATCGATCACGACGTAGAAAAAGAAAGACAGCAGACTACACCTTTATCTGATACCGCTGTATGTGGCGATCTCGAAAGGGAACATGCCATAGACCCGTATATGCTAGTAGGAGGAGTCATTAGTATATTTGCTGACGGTCAGTGGAGTCAAAGACGGTCTTCAGGCTAAGACAAGTAACAATCGTTCGTCGCCCTAAGAATCAGCGCAATTCCAACAATCGTCGCAAATTGAAGACAAAACTAATACACCTATGCCAGCGCGAAACCAAGCTCAATTCTCGCGAACCTGACTTTCAAATCCGACAGACCAAACTGCGTAGCATAATGACCGACTGTTTCCACTGCGAAAGCTTTTTCTATATCTCTGGCATCCCTATGCACCAGCGATCTGTCACTCCGTGGGCTCTTCACTATTTAGTTTGAGTGGTCTGCGTGCCACATAGTCGTTTGTTGTCGGTACAATTTTTCTCCTCAAATTATGTTCAGTACACAAGTGGAGAATTCGTTCCCCATAAACCGGGCGATGAGCGCTAACCCAGATTCACCCGCCAAGACGGGCCTCCTCGGGGATCAGTCGGTAAACCTGAGCATTCATATCACCTACCAAAATCAGGATAGCCGTACTTCTTGCTGACCGGAAAAACCGTGACAAACCTCGACAAGAGCTATCATTCTCACTATAGAGCTATTATCAGACTGTACACTAACAACAAACGCCGTTTACCCCAGCTGAGCCAAACAACTGAATAAGGCAAAAACGATTAATTATTGGAATCCAGTCCAATACAGTACATTCCTTCTAGAGATAAGCACAACCTACCCCCCGCCATAGACACACGAATCACAGCATCAAGATAGCCAGAAACCCGAAGAGTAAACTGCGAAGAATCTGGATGCATCCGGAGCGATTTGAAGTGTATGACGGAACTGGGATCTTGTGTACATGTTTCGTGGGCACAAAAACCGAAATGGAAAACAAGTTCTCCGTTTGATGCGGAGCTCTTAATGTCGGAAGCAGCAACGTGGAACAAATCCACTGAATTTAATAAGGTTTTTTTATATCTACCTTACCGGACAGAAGCCAGGACAAGGAGCAACAGTTGGACGACTGCAAATGAATGAGAAAATTTTGGGTGAAGGGTATGGAGGAGACCGTCACGAACAGACTGGACCTCAACGTGATGTGACGGTATTGGTGACTTTGTGACCCATTAAACTATACGGGATGATGTCTGTGGAACACTGGCAATCTAGTACGCCAGGCTGGTCAGTGGTTAGAGATATGACCAACATAGTCACCTGCCCTCCGCGTTGGGATCCGGAACTTGTGAGATCTAAGCGCCCTGACAGTATCTCCGTCCACGCACAATCACGATACTGATGTATGGGAAGGGTTGATGAGCTGCAAGAGTGAATGATAGTCCCCGGTTACCTACACCAAAGCAGGGTTTGATTTAGGTACCCCATCTTGAGTCTTTGACTCAATGCCTCTCCCTAGTTTCTGATGCAAATGACAGTATCCCGTCCACGCACAATCACGATACTGATGTATGGGAAGGGTTGATGAGCTGCAAGAGTGAATGATAGTCCCCGGTTACCTACACCAAAGCAGGGTTTGATTTAGGTACCCCATCTTGAGTCTTTGACTCAATGCCTCTCCCTAGTTTCTGATGCAAAGTTCGATTCACGTGGCAGCAGTTGTTAGGGTTTTCTGAAGAGCCAGTGACCAACTTAGTTGCGAAGGGCTACCCTGTCTCGAGGGCATGTAGAGTAGAGCATAGATGCCTGACCAGTGATCCTGTTACGCATTGCAAATACGTTTAGAACCACGTCCATCATACTAGACAATATGCCAGGGGTCGGAGTCAACACTGAAACCTTACCACTGAGCATGATAATAGCTTTAGATCGAAGAGAAGGAGTCAAATGATGGTATGCTGAGATAATTCTCACATTGACTGATTCACGATAACTTCAAAACGCCGCTTTCGGGGACATTTACATGCGCTTACCAGAATCCACTGCTGGACAGGCTACAGCCAAAGTGTCACCATCTACGGTGGCTGGCTGCCGCGGGCCAAGACGATTGATGGTCTCTTGAATCGAGGCCAGTTGATAATCCAAATCAGGAAAGTGAAATTCTGTAGAGCGTTCACACGCTTCGGCAAGGCCTGGAAAGGTAAAAAATGAGTGGCTTCGGTTTAAAAGCGTTTCTACGGAACCCTCAGAGAAAACGCAGTAGACCCAACCGAAGGAATGCATAACATAGTTTCCGATATATTCTCCACCCTGTAAGAATTTGAAATCTGCAAGAAGACTGTTCGTGCTAGGTTATCAGCTCTGTGGGCAGACTACAGCGATTGAGTCTAAAAAGATAGCAGATTTAGCCTCATTTCAAAATATATTGGTAGAAAGTTGCACACTGGGAAACGTCTAAGGCCAAATAGTTAAGACATCAGGAATTTGTAAACCAGGTCCCAGAGGGGCCAATGTCTTGCTAATAAAAGCAAGACCATAGAATGTAGATGCTTATGACTGGCTGAAAAGTCCTGTTCTCCTTAAACGATTTATGATTCATACATGACGCTGCACTGAAGAAGTTGAGGCATGATGAGACAGTAATCGAAGCTAAGTATGTATACAAATTAAGCATGCTGCATCATGCACAAAGTCTGAAAGCCATAATCGTATGACCACGGATGGATAAGGCTTCGGGCCGAGATTGGCTTCACGAAAAAACGCACGGGAAACTGGACCGAACTGAACCTTAATTTAGGGATAAGCCAACTAGAGTCCCTCTACTCCGAGAGGCCGGAGGCGACTGGGCGTGCGCGTCACCTGTGTTCACCTTCCTTCGGCACGGTGTGTGAAATATCTTGTTCGCACCTACGTGCATTGGACGGTACTGCACTCGATTAGATAGTCAACCAATCTCTAACCTAGAGAGTGAGTTTGCACCCGACTCATCTAAATATTGCATTACATTGCCTTGCACTCAGTATACATAATTTTACTGCAGTTGGGTTTTTATTGTACCCGTATAACAGCTGGAGCCCGGAGCTTGACTTCTCGCACGCATCGTGTCAAAGGAGGCAAACAGATGTGTCACATGGACACTGTGACCAAGTCGCCGCCGGTTTGATGTAGAGCAGATTATGACGATACAAAATGAAGGCATAATGAAACAAAACCTACAGGAACACTCTATTGGAAAGCACTGATGGCCCGTTCTAGGTGGGTACACTGCTACAAATACGTATCCGAATCACAACCAAAATCCCCATGGGTTGGCGAACAATCGGAATACCGAAGCTCCAATCAGAAGGGTTAACCAACAGTGAATTTAAGAAACTTCGATTGAAGCCTAAAACCGCCTGGTTTACGGGGCTAATTAAGTTTTTAGCGAGCAACTGTTCAACTACGTGTAAAAGAAAAGCTTCCGGTTGTGAGGATAGGTAAGTGGTGAACTCACGTCGGTTGATGCCTCGAAATGAATTGATTCGCTTGTCTACGATCACAACCATTCCGTTCAACTCGTGTGAATAAAGACCCAGGGCATTGCTCAATCGCTCAGCCAAATCATCCGCAGGTGAACTGAAGATAAGGGACACCAAACGGCATGGAAGAGATAGTTATTCTGCTGTGGTTATCCCACACGAAAGAGTAAGTTGGATTCATTACCACTGGCTGCTTTATCATATGAATTCCGTTATTCAAGATAGATAGAATCCAGCGCTGGCTTGCAAGGCAGATTGCTGAGGGACCATTTTATTTCTTTAAGCCAAACGCCAGAGCATTGTTGCCCATGGTGATGATTTAGAAAACGGGATGATTAGTTGGAAGTTTCCCGGGCCTAGCGACGTATAAAGCTTGGCAAGACCTGATCTGATAAACAGATATACTACCCGTGACCATATCACTCTGAAGCTTTGCTTTTTTTATACGTCAGTAGTGTGCATCCATGAGCATTTAGGGATTGAACTAAGATCACCTGACGTGGGCGGCGAGTGTTGCCACTGCTCTACGAGCCCTGAATAAAATTCACAGCTGAACGGTTCAAGTTCTCCTCGAATGTTTAATCTGTGTGAGGCTAAACAGCGTGTGAGATCAATATGGGTTTTGCGCAGTGAAGAAATAAGGCTCACTCACGGGAAATGGAAAGCGGCCTGTGTACTGTGGTAAGATGACAAAAGCGTTTACAAAACACTCCCACGCATGGGTCATACTTTGAGCACAAATAGTTCATCCACCAACAGATGATACACTCACTTGGACTGATCAGGGTATTCAAATTCTTTAGACAAAAAACCCAAGTTGTTCAACAAGCTCATCGGGTCGGCCCGTATCAGGCGGAAATTACAGGTAGTTCGAAGCTGACGGCCAAGCTGCACAGTGAAGCTCTGGGACCATGGTTCGTTGGGACGCCCAGTTCTGCCAAAGAACATAAACGATAGCCGATGTGATGATAAATTTTGTTAGGAAAATGGTAGCCGGTAGAAGTGTGCTGCATACCGAGATACCAGGTGAGGGAGAGCGAAATAAAGCATGTTCCCAGTCCAACCTTACAACATACAAATAACACGAGTGGAATTACGGAAGAAAAGTTCTGACATGGCCGCACGCTTGACCACATTGTTCAGCTGTAACACCCTTTCGGTGCCTAGCTGTCATGCCACCCGAAGGAAGCCCGAGGGCTGGGAAACTGCCAGGTTGCTCAAGCCTTGAAAGAAGTCGAGATTCAGAGGCAGGGTTCGAACCACGGACCTTCCGGTAAGTAAACTCGTCCTCTAATCACTAAAACATCTCGTCTAGGAAATCATGCTTGATAACACGCCTCACGAGAAGCAGATAATGGCACGTATAACAATAAAGCGGGTTTTACAGTTTTTTGTATTCCGTTCAATACGGTCACTCGATTTCGCTTATGGCAAGCACTTTTGGTATATTTTCTCGACGGATTCGTGCAACTAGATACTCTTAAGAATGGATGAATGTTGTCTGACCAACGGAAATTCCGACAGGTACAGTGCGTTTTCTACGCACTACACTTGGGAGGAGACATGATCGACTGACCTTGACCTCAGGCTCGTTGCGTTTTCCATCAAAAACCTGCCCATCGCCATCAAGTATCTGCGGGTTCCTTCATTCAACCGATGCACACGACTCACCAGAGTGAGCGGAAAGTGATTCCACTGGCGGTTACCAGTGACCGAAACCCGAGGATGGTCTCATTACATGGCCACTTGCGCGTGGCTGTAACTAGCTAGCAAGTTCTCCCTCGCACCAACCTTTCCCTTATACAATAAGCCCCGAGAAAATGGTGGACAAAGCGATGAACAGACAGCGTCCACTTCGAACTTACGAACTGGCTGGTATGCTCCTTCTAGAACCTGAGTGATGTTCGACCGTAGGATTGAATCCGACTGAGTTAAACACAAAAGCGAAAAACCGCCCCGGAAAGATGAACAAGTAAATAAAGGAATGCTTGAACGAAACGCGATCAACAAATCAGCTGAAAAGAATACGGGATAAGCCCGGAAAATTATATAAATCCAACACACAAAGACAATGTGTCGGCAAAAGCGAATACCTCAACGAGTGCGCTGTGAGGATTAGATGCTGCATCCAGGAGAGCTGAAAACCAAAGTGGGTCCGTTTTTTGCAACGCTATTTTCGACACAAATAGTGCCTTTGGCCAACGTGTGTAGAGTAGTGCCGTAGTGCTTAAACTTCTGTTAGAAAGTTAATCAATATCTCAACGTAAATCGCCGACTTTCTTTTTTATGACATGAACTCGTCGGTAATGTGACAACAAGGATTAGTATATGACGCAAAAGTTCATGATAAGAGCTTAGCCAGTGGAAGTAGAACGCTGAGACCCATGAGAACCATCTATAGAATGAATATGGGGAGACTTAAGTGTTCTATCAGGCGATCCTGTCCGAAAAGCATTTTTTCGATGAAAGATTTCAACAAACGCGGTACACAGGTCTTTGAGAAATGCTACCAGGAACAACCCGCCTCTTTAATGACTCAGCTCAAGGAAGAATCCAACGTAGTATATATTATGAAAGCCATGAAACACTAGGTTTACATTGCTTCCCATTTGAAAGCAGTAAACACGAATGAGGTTCGTCGCTCACTAAGACTGCGAAACGTCATATCACTCAGGTCGTCTATAATACTCGTCTTTCAACAGTGATCAGTCCCGATCAGCGAAAACTTTATTGAAAATAGTCTCAGAGAAACTGCGCGATCATCAGCCGGTCAACCAATACCAACAACAGACTATCTTGTAAGATAGACCAAAACTTTTGCACTACACATCGGGCGCTTTCGTAGAGCAAACTGTTAGGATATTGTGAAACATACTGGAATACGCCGCGGTGACTCGCCTCCAGGTCACCAGTTGAGTGGTACTTATTGAATGCACATTTCGGCCTCGGAAAGAAAAGCCAGTATCACGCTGGTCTGCCTGTACATCAAGACTGAACTCACTTTTGTCACTATTTCCCATATCCTCCGATTCTTGAATTTACATAACGTGCTGCTCGATCTCACTCAAACTGTGGTGCTTGTGAATTGCTTCCAGCTGGCTACATTCTTCCTCGTCCTGTAGAAATTTATGCATACCGAACTTTGAACGCCGTGTAACTTGTCACTCGGTTACGCATCGCAGCTTTCCCGGTCGCCGTATTTTGAAATCATGGCTCCTCCAAATATAAGTGGAAGTCTGAAAAAATCATCAAGCAGACCAGCTCTCATACAACTCTCTGTTCACTCAACCTCGTCTCTCTACAAGGCGACAGTAGTCCTCGGTCAAGCTCGAGCAGCGATGAATCACGTGTCATCCTGCAGTCCAACAAAAATTGCTAGGTCTAACTACGTCCCACATCCTAATTCAGCCGCCACAAGCATTTGCTACCGCCTCGCTGACCAGTACCCATTGAGTGGCACTCGTAAGACTGTGGGTTGAGCGACGAATGATAATTTCTCCCAATGGCTTTATTAACGTTTCACATCAGAGTTGAAAATTAGGAAAAATGAATGGTGTCCGTTGTCTTTAGTCGGACGCCGAATACGAAGCCTGATGTTTCGTGAGTTTAGTAACTAGTGTTTCCATTTTGAGTTCACGTTGAAAGAGCTGGTATGCACAAAAAGGAGCTGGTTTATTGGCCTTCACTCAGTTCACATACTGGTTTTGTTAAGTGACTTACGTGGTTCGTTTGGGTGTTTTTATGCGGCGTTTGGTTCCGGGAAGGTCAGTCACAGGACAGATGAGCGGTTGGGTAGTCGGTTCACATCCCGTCCCTGAAGAAGACCGGCGTTCTTCGATAGACATCACGAAGGCCCGCAACTCACGTCGCTGAATTCGTTTTAGCTCACTTATACAGCTGTTCCATTGGCTTTCTACCAGCTCACGGTTGCGAATATGGGTTCCCTGCATCTGAGTGATGGTTTGTGGGATGTCAGGTCCAAGCTTTTGCAATCCTATCTCTGTATTTTTTATCAACCTAGTAGATAGAAACAAAGGTAATAAATTCTTGAAATAAACTTCTACGTATATTGGTCACAGGCTTGGTTGTAGGGCTGTCGGCTTTATATAGAAAGAAAGCTCACTTGACTTCCTAAGTGCAGTATGCCTCAGGTTTAAACTACTTAGCTGTCGTCGCCGCTACAGAACTTTGAGATTAGACACAACCATGATTGCACTACTTTCAAGATATGACAAAATGACGAAAAAGTGGAAAAATAGCGACCGACAGTAGTTTCAAAGTCGAATCGCCTAGTATAAGCAGAGCGCTTCACTAACAGAAAGGTAATTCCCATCCTCAATGAAATGGAGAAAATTCGGAACCAATTGAGAAGTTTTCTTTCCAAAAGGGCTTGGTAAGCAACTGCTAGCTTTTAAGTGGGCAACGTTTCGCTTTTGACACAAAAGCTTCATCAGGCCTTATGCAAAGGCCATCAAGTTGGCCAGATTTTAAGGCAGACGGATCACTAAACAGCAAGACCTCTTTAGATTAGCCCACTAGAACAATGTCGAATGTTAGTTGAGGGGTTGAAGTTGCTTGCCTAAATCGTACGGTTGAAGTATTAGGGGATTTCGAATTATTTTTCACCGGTATATCTTTGTAATGTGCTACTCGTAAGGTTGCTGAAAATCCGTCGACAGCCCACGACCGGTTTCGCCCTTTTTGGGACTCAGCAGGTAGGCGCAGTTCCCGGGTTTCCGTCAAACTTACGTTCCACTTGGAGCCAAATTGCACGAAATTAGCAAATGAGTGTATATTCGCTAATTGCGTGCAATTTGGCTCCAAGTGGAACGTAAGTTTGACGGAAACCCGGGGACTGCGCCTACCTGATGAGCCCCGAAAAGGGCGAAACCGGTCGTGGGCTGTCGACGGATTTTCAGCAACCTTACGAGTAGTACATTACAAAGGTATACCGGTAAAAAATAATTCGAAATCCCCTAATACTTCAACCGTACGATTTAGGCAAGCAACTTTTTTTTACCGGGTTTGGTTCCTCGATCTTCCGGTTCAAGTTGCTTCGATTAATGGTTATCTGTGGGTGCCAATGGTAAATTTCGTTAGTGAGAGCTTGTAATTTCTATCGAGTCTTTTTGAAAAGATAACTTCTCAGTTAGTTTCAGACGTTTTACAATTGCTTGCAAACAGTTACGGGCCATGTGTTCTCAAACTCTCAAGTGACTACGTCCAGCTGCAACGGTTAGAAATAAGCCGAGAGGACCAGCGCACATTCAATGAAAGATGCTTGGAGCACAGCTTAGTCCCATATCCATACTGGTTAAGTCACCGGATACATCACTCGCTTTGTCCGAATAGCATTCTCAATGGTCATGTCATTCCTCAAACAGAGGATCCACTTAATCACTTGGTATTTAACTGATACCCGTCACAACACACGTCTGCTCAATATCTTCACACCGTGCTCTTTCCCGCAGACTCCCACTTACTCAGAACGAACACAACAAAGTGAAAACCATTAAAGGACAACACTGCAGACAGAGACAAGTACGTCAATTCTCCACGACTCAGCATTCTAGCGAACCCGAAACGAAGCATGAGCCGCCTACCACCCATTGTAGCGTTGTACGTTTATTAAATAAACCGCTAACTGAGAAACAGCTCTGTCTGTTAGAGGAGGACTTAAAGTTTGTGATAAGTAAAAGGGTGATAAGGAGAAGCAAAAAATGATCCCTGACATTCAATCTGTGTTGCAGAAAATTCCGCCAATGAAAACAGATAAGCTACGGATAAAGCTGGTCACAGCCCTTAAGTCGCAACAGTCAGGATCTCCAGATATTACGCCAGCAAAAGGGCGAGCGTTAAACGCCTCTAAACAGGTTGACAACGTAATGGTTACGAAAACTCATAGGGGTAAGGCCACCGTTGTCATGAACCAGAGGTCAAGCAACACCTAGGTGAGGGTCTCTATCGGCAGATCGATAATGGGGACATTACGTCTATGATGAATAGGAGTAAATTTAGAGTTTGCAGGTATTTGCGGCCCATGATAAACCACCTAGGGCAAGGTAAAAGGCATCCATTGTACTCCAAAAGTGCAAACAAACCACGGAGTTACGGTCCGTCAAAAATCCACAAACCAGATGTCCCGGTGAGACCGGTAGTAGACGAAATAGGTTCCCCAGGTATTTTAAAACCATTCAGCGGAAAATCTAGTAATAACTTCAGGAATTCATGACTTTACTAACAAAGTAGTGGGTTTCACCATGGAACCAGATGACATTCTTGTAAGTTTCCGTATCAGTTCTTTATACAGAAATGTGCCAAAAGGGGACTTTAGAAATAGCTAAGCTACTGCTACTAGCAGATATCACCCTTTTAGAACAAACACAGCTTGCGGTAGGAATAATGGTGAGAGGAATGAAAGCCTGTTTGAATCTCACTTCGTTTTTGATTCCATGATTTTCACCCAAGAACAAGGTCTAAAAATGGGATGTCCAATATCTCCTGTTCGGGCAAACATTCTTGAGGAAGATTGTGAACAAAAAGCTTTGGCCGGATTCCCGTATCCACCCATGCTATTCTGGCGTTATGTAGATGACACTTCCATCGTGATGGAACGATGCAAGGTCAGTGAGCTTTACAACTGACTTTCTTCGATCCACGCACCAAATTCAATATGGAGATAGAGTCAACTTCGGGTACGCTGTCTTTCCTAGACTGCATAAGGTCGGGTATAAACTAAAGGCCACAGTGTATGAGAAGCCAATTGACAATGGAGCGGTCTTCCCACTCGAAGTTGGTATTTGCTAGCATTGCCTCATCAATGTTTAGCCAAGTAAGGGCCTTGCGCACAGAATATGACGAGACAGCGTCCCAAATTGAAAGAACAAACTTCGGGGTAGTGAATATTCAGCTAGTTTGATTAGCCACCAGTTACGAAGTGTTGGTATCAGTGGCGAAATCAAAAAGAGAATGAACTTGGACTACTGTTACTCCATGTAAACCATTCGAATTCATTGGTAGAATTCTAAACACAGCTGACACAAGTAGCACTCCAGAAGAAGGACACTGCGCTCTGCAATGGTGCAACTGAATGATCGCCTCCAAGCGAACGGAATCATGGACTTTGTTCACAAAATTAAATTCAACGACTGCACTTAAGTCTATATAGGGTAGAGGGGGAGCTTCACACAGTTGTCAAACTAGTATTACCAAGGGCTAGTTGTGTTTGAGTGTCATAGCATTAGGGGCGTTTTTTTTGTTGGTAGTAAGCGGAGCTTTGAGAATTCTCCAAATGAGTGAAGTCAATCTGCGCGGAAAATCCGAGAAGCACTGTCCTAATTGACAGTCATTAGCAGTGCTTACCTCACAAAAATCCAGAGCGATTTTGGAAAACACAGATGTGGTTTAATTAATTAAACTGTTCAGCTGCAACGCCCATTCGGTGCCTAGCTGCCATTCGTCGCGGAAACTATCGGTCCTTGGAATTCTTATTTCAAGATTGCCAATGTTTTGTACACGGGCTTAAGCACACACAAAGCAAATTAAACGAGTTCCTGAACGGGACTCCAACCTGCGAACTCCCGCTTACCGGGCCGGAGGATTCGCCCTGTGGGCAAGAGGTCAGAGTCGCACCCCAGGATTTCGTTTTTTCTTCACATAACACTACTGTGCTTTGCCTCTGCATTTCGTGTGCTTCTGTTCATATTCAGAATTCGATAAAACCCGCTCCCCTAACATGGATTTCCGAAACTGTTGACAATTATAGCACACAGGAGGTAGGGAAACTGGTTCCCATCCACTCGTTCAGAAGGCACTTGATAGCCAGGAATCACGCCAAAAATCGCTCAATATCGTGAACCGGCAATAAGTGTCTTAGAAGACTGAGTAGTGATATTGTCCTAGCGAACAAACAGCGCTGCACTGCCAAACATAATGCGACAAGATGTTTGGCGTTTCTTCAAAGTAAATGAAATTCGTTTCGAAATAACCTAAAAGCGAAGCAACATGGGGAGGATTCATGCGGGGGGTGGTTCTGGAATTACACGATTATCCTGCAGGTGACGACTTTATGCGGAACAATCAAAAGTAATAACATCAATCGTCCACCAGTAATACACTTCCAGTGCCTAGCGGCCATGCCACCGGAAGAAAGCATGTGGGCTGGAATACTTTCAGGATGACAAGGATAGAAAGAAGTCTTGATGCAGAACTCGGGTTCGAACCACGGACCTTCCGGTCAATAAATTCGCGCTCTGACCACTGAAATATTGCGGAACAACCCGATACAATGGGATAATAACTGACAAGTTCGTCACGCCTCAGATCAAGTCAAGTACAGTCGTTCAACTGGATGGTTACCGTTCCTTTCCTTTCTTTTGACTATAGAAAACATTCGCGGTCAGTCCCTTGATATAGATCGCCTGCACAGACACCCTGCCAGAAATTACACCCTAGCTAACTCACTGAGCCTTCGCTAAAAACCTGTGAATAACTGCTTTGTAGAATACATAGGCGGGAACTATAGAAAGATCAGAAAACCCCAGGTTGTCAGTAGGGTGCTGAAACGCTGTATAAAGTTTTACTGCGTAATTTCATTTGGCTTGGAAACCATGGTTCGTTATGCCGCTATGCTATTGACGAATGAATTCCGTAACCGGGGAGCTGCTGATAGGCAACTTCCGACATGCGGAGAAGCTGTCGCAAAGCATATGCAAAATACCTGAGGGAGCAGTGCCAACATAGTGTAATATGTACAACACCGATATGAGCCCGAATAACAGCCAGCTTGTCTACAGCTCCAGCCTTAAAACTACTTACTCTTCGTCCATTCTCTTCAACACGGCATTCTTCTTATCCACCTCTGTAGAGACTGCCAATGCAAAAGACTGTTCCAACCTCATTAGTTCTTCTGCGTCTGCTGAGTGTACGACATGATGGTACGCCTGGCCAAACAGTTCATCATCGTCGGGGATGCTTGGCTCTGCATAAGTTGATACATGCTACAATAGGTAAAAAAACGGGAAGGAAAATGGCCAACCTTTCTGTAGGCTTGATCCAAGTGATTACATAGCTCATTCACATCAACTGACCCATCGGTTAGTTCATCTAGAGCTTCCGAATAAAGCTTGAGGAAATCCTTGTTTCTCTCTTGTTCGATGAACTTTTGAAGTTCCTTCAAAAGCGCTAGAAAAAAGTCAAAATCAGAGATTGTGGACGGTAACCTACAGTCGTGAGCGAATTCGGGTATATTGTATCTTTCGATGATGTGGTGGAACACAATCGAAGTGGTGTGACGCAGTGGAAAAGTGATTGGTTGCCTGACAGAAACTACTACATCCGTCCCGAATGATTTGGAGAACTCAAAGTCGGCCTTCCTCATCAATGGATTAGCTATGAGCAATCATGTGGAAGGGCCTCGTCACCTTAAGCAGTTCTCGAAAACACGGCTGCTGTGCGCGATAACTGATCCGGACTAGTAAGACTGGATCAAGGAATGCGTGACGCTTGTATACAGTTTATTGACACACTGACATTGCCTCCGGGGGAAAAGGACGACCCGTAGTCACACGGGAGTCGAGGGCTAAAAGGCAGAAAGATGAAATTAAGCGCCTCAATGGAATCTGTATTCAAACATCATCGGATAATAAGAGGTGTCGTGAGCTGTGAAGTTGTGACATCGCCTACTAACACCCAAAAGTCGCAATGTATTGCAGCTTCCAACACTTTCAATGTACTTGGCACCTATCAAATGGTATTCGCATGGTTGGCATAGCAGATGGTTAATTGGGCACACAACACAAGCAACATGAACAGGGGAAACTACTAATCCAGTCTTTATGACACTAGTGACACCGAACATGAACAGGGAAACTACTAAACCAGTCTTTATGACACTAGTGACACCGACACTCAAGGAGCGCGATTTCAGAACGGAATTCCGCACAAATTCTCTCGGAAAAAGCACTTCTAACAGTATCTGGTTAAACACTGTTTGCTGGACACATGCAGTCTGCTAACTGCCGGTCGCACTCGACACTGTCAGTGCATATCCCACATATGCAAGGATACATAATCACCAGCTACAAAATGTGCACGGCAATTTCCGTGGATTCACGGATTCACGGATCGATACACAGGATCGAGGCTTTTGCCCAAGTTTCCCGGGTCGGTTTTGTTCTTGTCGGTCAGTGGCTGTCGTTCACCTGAAAGGCACAAGTGAAAAAAGGGTGTAGCACTACTCTTTATGTTCTCAGCGCGGGGCAATATGCTCGCCAGCGCGAGGATTCGCACAAATAAATGTCTAATAGTGCTTTAAATTGGGTTCGAGAAGGAGCGTGTACAACCGTCGGAGGAAGGTCATTCCACGCAGCTACTACCCGAAATGAAAAAA